ATTGCTTATTGGCTGAATCCTTGGAAAGAGTTTAGAAATTTCAATCTCAATAGTGGATAGAAGATACATGAACGATTAATATAGCCCCATATAACAGTACCGACACCCTACCGCATTTCCAAAGGATGTTATAGGAAAATAAATGGCGCCCATGTTGTTGCTTATTGACTGAAACACCTAAAGAGTTTAGAAATGACAATCTCAATAGTGGATAAAAAAGATACATCCCGGATTCTTAAGGGCGTATTTAAGGTATTTGAAAGATTTTATCCGCTTTATTCCAACAAAGTAACTTAGGAGTTTCCTTAAATATATATACCCATCACTTTTGCCTCTAATTATTTTCGACATTTAGCTTTTCTTCTATACTCTTCGCTATCTCTCTCTCTCTACCTCTAATAAGTGTTGTTAAGCTTTTCATTATGTTATCTAAGCCATATAAGTACGCAAAAATGTATACGTGCACATCAACACTCTCTAAGCTATGAGTTGGCGTGAATATTGCAAGATTACGTCATGTTTTGGCTTCGCGTTTTGGTTATTTCAAAGTCTCCACTCAATCAGTATTTTGTTCGTTTTTTTTTAATTTATTGCAATTTATTGTTTAACGATTTGTCTGTTCGAAAATCCGATTTGCAATGATGAACATTGAATAGTGAGAGAGAATTAGACAACTCAAAAAAAAAACTGACATTTAATTTTGAGAACAGGAATTTTTGGAATGCAATGACGAAGTAGTAGTAGCACTACAATATAAAAAGAAAACATAATTATAATAATATAATAAAAATTATATAATTATAATTATATATTTTAAAATTCAAAATCTTAAGTTTCATATATAAAATTCGCTTTCAAATGAAAAATGTAAGGTATTTTTGTATATATTGCGCAAATTAGGTGTAAACTATTTTTCACAACAGAAAAGCGGAACCTACGGAACTATTTCTTCATGTCAATAATACATTTCTAATTTTTTTTTAAATTGGCGCCCAACATTAGGTATACAAATTATAACAAATTGTAAACACCATGAAGTCATTTAAATCGCGTTGAACGTTGAATGACTCATATGTGAAATATGTATGTCCCTATGACTGGAGATTTTATACTGGCATCGAAACGGCACCCAATGTCTGGCCACACGGTCATCAAAGTGGCGCCCAACGCGGGGCCGGATGTTAAATTAAAGAATTAGGAGCTATGATATTTTTTAAGCCTTTACTAATATCTAAAAAAATTGGCATTCAAATGGCGCCCAATTTAGGAATATCATTTAATGACAAATATATAATGGAGAACAGACTTAGCCGTTTTGCCGTTCTCTCTAATTGACACAACATGTGTCGTTTTTTTAGTAATATAAGATTGACCGCTCCGTTTGGATTTCTCCATACGAAAGATTAATTATTAGATTACTCGTTTTGTATATCCCTGATTTATATGTTTGAAAATTTGATACTGCATTGTTTTATGATCAAAAATCAACTTGAGCTTCTCTGTACAAAAAAATACTAATCATGGAGCTTACGTATCCCCAGCTTGACTTGTGTAGCCTTAAGTGAAATGTTCGAAATTTAAAAGTTTGTCATCAAAATGCAACTTTGTCGTTTCTTACACGATCAATATCAACCCTGACATATGACATATGGTTTTCTCAGCACAAAGTATCCGAAGTCGATTTATAAATCCCTAATTTAAAACGTTTGAAAGTCTACTTAGGACAAAAATTGAGAATCATGTAGGGAAAGAAAGAGAGTTGAGCAATCTTCTTCTAACTAGGTGAACGAACAAATTTTAACTGGTATCGATTGTCCCCTTTGCGGAATAGCTCCTTTCAACTACTTCTGATTATATACAATATCAATTTCGTTTTTAAAACAGTTTGATCTCGTTCGACGTTGGTCATTCATTTAGTTCCATAGCTCCGACCAATGAAGAACTAGATGAACAATTTGAACAAGAACCACCTCTTCAAATACTTCAATTTTCTAGAATCCCTTCAGCTCGTCTATATAGACTCCCTTCTGCTCGTCCATAAAGATTCAATACAGCTTGTATATAAAGACATCCTACTTCAGCAGCTCTATAAAGGCTCCCTTCGGCAGAGCTCTCTTCAGCTCGTCTATAAATACTACCTTCAGATCGCCTATAAATACTACCTTCAGCTCGTTTATAAAGACTCTCAGACATTCAGTTCGTCTCTAAAGACTGCCTGCTTCAGCTCGTCTATAAAGACTGCCTGGCTTTCAGCTCGTCTATAAAACTCCCTGCATCATCACGTCCATAAAGTCTCGTCTCAGCTCAGCTGTAATGACTCCCTGGCCTTCAGCTCGTCTATAAAGACTCCCTGACCTTCAGCTCGTCTATAAAGACTCCCTGACCTTCAGCTCATCTATAAGGGCTCCCCGGCCTTCAGCTTCAGCTCGCCTACAAGGACATCCTGCACGCTGCTTCACTTCGTCTAAAGATTCGTTTTAGTCATTCATAAAGACTTCCTGCTTCAGCTCTGCTAAGAATTATTTTCTTCGCATCGTCTGTAAGGACTGCCTTCAGCTCTTCTGTGAATGAATTCGTCTCATGTATCAAGATTTACCGAAAAGCCTGCTCTCAATTCGTTTATGGACGACTCAAGTCTAAAAATCCAGGGCAAAAAAATCGTCTATAAAGACTCCCTGCTTCAGCTTGTCTATAAAGACTCCCTGACCTTCAGTTCGTCTATAAAGGCTCCCCCGGCATTCAGCTTCAGCTCGCCTATAAGGACATCCTGCACGCTGCTTCACTTCGTCTAAAAAGTCGTTTTAGTCATTCATAAAGACTTCCTGCTTCAGCTCGACTAAGAAATATTTTTTTCGCCTCTTCTGTAAGTACTGCCTTTAGCTCTTCTGTGAATGAATTCCTTCGTCTCATGCATTTCATGTAGATCCACCGATAAGCCTGCTTTCAACTCTTCTTTGAATGACTCCCTTCATCTCATGTACCAAGACTCACCGAAAAGCCTGCTCTCAACTCGTTTCTGGGCGACTCTAAGAATCCAGGGCAATTTTTAAGTTGCGCTGAGATCAGATGTAAAAAGTGGCGCCCAAGTATTAATCCCAAAAATTAATATAATTTTATATGGGCAAACAAATGTTGCCGAAGAAGTTATCATAGGTGTTGATGTTATAAGAGTCATATAGCGCCCTTTTTCTCAAACTGTAATTGGCGCCCAACCTGGGGCAAGGCTATTTGTTAATTCAATAACAGTTGCAATTTTGTCATCACAAATGTAATTGTCTCTGCAAGTATCTTTTAGAGTTCTAATGTAATAGGCACACCAAATGGCGCCCAACATGTGGTCGATATTGCTCAGAATATATATTTTCAGTATAGCTACATATTTTGAAATAGCAAATATACAAACAAATGTTGCCTAATGTGTTATCATAGGTGTTAATGTTATAAAAATTAAATTTTGACATACTGTAACTGGCGCCCAACTTGGGACAAGGCAAATTTAGCCATTCAATAACAATAATAATTTTGTTCTCACAAATGGAATTTCGTCATTACAATAAGAATTACAGGCTCTTATAGAGTTCTACTGTAACAGACAAAGACATGGCGCCCAACATGTGTTCGATATTGACTGAAACCATGGAAAAAGTTTAGAAATGTCAATCTGAATAGTGGATAAAAGATACGTGGACTTCTAAAAATATGCAATTTTGGATATATCGATCCACGATTTGACATTCAATCTGGGGGATTATCTGTAGTGTGGCATTCGGGATTCTTGTGGGTGGGGGGGAGGCGGTTGTACAACTATGCAGAAAATGTTCAATATAGGTTTATGTTATGATCTAGCCCCATTCAAGTTTTTTGAAAAATTTAGCCGCATTATTCCAACGAAGTAATTGTTTTCGATTTATTTCTACGTTCTGATATAGTCCATAAAAAATTGATTTCTTGAAATCGATAATGGGGGAATCCATCATAATAGGCTAGAAAGGTGTCAAAATTGTGCACAGGTCAAGAGATTAGGCCCCAGGTTTTCTTCTAAATTACTCTAAATTGTATGGCTTTGTTGTTCTCAGTACACCTTTTATAGCGTACTAGCTTAAAAGCTTCATTTAATACAAACACTTGTTTTGTTGTTGTTATTGTTTTTGCTATTATTAGAATGACGTTGAGCTGTATTTAAAGTTTGACGATTGTTGTTGTTGCTCTTTTTTTGCATTCACTTTGAATGTTCGTATTTGCAATTAGAAGCAATGCGAATAATTTAGTAAAGTTTTGCTAGGCAAATATTGAACATCACTGCCACTCAGTAATAGCCGTAGAAGCAGTTGAATGATAGGCAGTTGTTAGTGTTATCGTTGGATGGGAGTGGGTATGTGGAGGTAAGTAAGTAGCAGTTATTTCACCTAAATTCTTAAGTATGTGAAAAGAAGAACAACAACAAATAAATACCCCACCATAATAATCAAAAGTACGGCTCCAAGTAGAGACTCGACAAAAACAAATCTATAAGCGTAACTATCAATTGTTACGATCAATAATTTTATTATTGTTGCAACAACAAGAAGAAGTGTAAAGGCTTAAATAGAATCGAATTATAAGTTAGTATTTGAAACGTGGCCTTAACTATTATGCGTGTTCAAGTGAGTGTGTGAGTGAGTAAGTGTAAATGCCTATGCCTTTTCTCTCCCAATCTCTTATATACCACCTCTAAAAACTAAGAGAGAGAGAGAGAGTCACTTCCCTCAATAAAAATATGACCCAAATAAAAAAGTTATTCCATGTGCCAGTCGTTGTAGTTATCAATTGCAGGTGGAAATAAACAACAACAATACACAGCTCATAATATCTATTACGTTAAGGCCATTCTTAAGGAAGCAAGAAAAACTCAAAACTGATCTTCAGTTAAGAATTATTGCTTATGAATGGTATAGCGGTAGCATTCTAACAACAATGATGCTGCCAATGATGATGATTCTCATTAATGGTCATCAACAACAACAATTGGTATCAATTACGATTTAATGAACGTAATGACAAAATAAACCAGCTACCGTTACACACCTTCGCCTCCACACACACAAACACACCTTTGTAAGTGTTTTGATAAGAACGTGACTTTGAGGTAATAGTTTTTGTTGCTAGGCTTTCTTTACTCACACTCACACACACACCTTGTCCACCAACAACAACTCATTACCGCACTTTATCATTGATGACTGAGTGGAAATTGTTATTGTTGGTGTTTTTGTTTCTAGATAGAATGATGCTCATTTTGTTGTTGTTGTTTTTGTATATGTTTCATTGAAATACACACAGACAAGCCATTCAAATGATTGTGTCATAGAATGCATGACGGATGTGATCATCATGGGAAGATAAAACGAACTATTATTTTGAATCCATTGTATTGCCTTGCGTTCTGGGAGGTGTAAGTCCCAAGGAGATAAAACTTGATAGGACCGGAATAATAATAAAAAAACTCCATAAAAATAAGAATACATTACAAAAACAATTTCAGATTCAGTATTATTATCATTACTGCCATAATCTTGTCTTTTTGTAATGAGAACTGAAATTCTCTTTATCTAAATCCGGCGAAATCCTGAGAATATCGTAAAAATTATATCCTAAAAATCAGTTATTATTAAATATTTCATTAAAACTAAAAAAAATACAAAAAAATAGCAGGGTCAATATTATCGTCAATGAGAGAGAACAGCACTCACTTTATCTAAATCCCGTAAAATCACTATCCACAAAATATCGAAAACGTCAAAAATGTATATTTTACAATATTAATTTATTAAATAGTTCACATTTCTTCTCGTTTTCTAAATATAAGAAATATTTTGTCCGCGCTATTCAAATATCGTAAAAAAATAATATTCCCATATTGGAAACTTGACAAAAAAATTAATTAAAAAAATATATATTTTTTTCATTAGAAAAGTCAGGAATAATCGCAGTTTGTTGTTTTGAAAAAAAAACAACTATTTATTAGTGGGAAACGTGTGGCATTGTCCGCCAAGGAATAAGGCAGAAAGGACTATAGATTCGGATCTCTCCACTGATCCTCATCAGTCCCCTTGATTTTTGTTTGGGATATTCTCCCCAGAAACTATTTATCGCTTCTTTACAAAAACCCCTTCATACCCTGAAACATATTTATAACAAAATACACGTTATTGAAATATCGTAATATCTATTTTCTCAAATATGATGAATAAATCCTTTCAAATATCAAATACCTGTCAACCATAATTTAAGTTATGCTTCCACTTTCCAATAAAAATTGTGGATTTTTAATTCATAAATATTATATATATATATATATATATATATCATAAATATTTGTATTATATAAAATAAAAAATATCGTATATATATTATATACAACACAACTTGCTCCAAATATCATAATTTCAAACAAAAAGTGATTATCGTAAAAAAATTTGTTAAAATGTAAACTGTTTTTAAATATCGTAAATATTATATTCACTTCCACCACTATGAGTGCTAATTTTTCAACTACATTTTTTAAATCTATATCGTGTTTGGCATTTTTACGAAAAATTTCGACACATTTACATTATATCGTAAATTTGCAGTTAATTTTTTTTCGAATATCGTAAACACTATCGACGTTACTAAATATCGTTAATTTAGCAATTTTTAATTATACCAATACTGCATTATTAAATCGAGTACCATATTTTTTTTTATGTCGTTGTATACCAATATCGTAAAAAATGTACTTCAACAATGAAACATTTCATGTGCCGCGTTAGTTTCTCAACCATATTTTGTAAATCTATATTGTGTTTGATATTATTACGAACAATTTGTATACATTTCCATAATATCGTAAAACATTAATTCATTTTATTCGAATATCGTAAAGACTATCGGCATCCTATAAATTTCAATTATGCCTTATCAATGCAAATTGTGGATTTTAGTATATCGTAAAAATATCATTCATAAATATTATTTAAATATCGTAAACAATTTTATAACACAACAAATATCGTATATACATTATATACACTACAATTTGCTTAAAATATCCCATATGCACAATTCCAAATAAAAATTTGTTATCGTAAAAAAAATCATGTCAAAATTTAAATTTTCTATAAATATCGTAAATAATAGGAGCGCAATATTTATAGAAAATTTAGATTTTGACATGATTTTTTTACGATAACAACTTTTTATTTGGAATAATAGCAGCGCAATATTTACGATATTTATAGAAATTTTAGCTTTTGACATGATTTTTTTACGATAACAATTTTTTATTTGGAATTGTGCTAGAGAGCTAATTTGTCAACTACATTTTGTAACACTATATCGTATTTGGCATATTGCGAACAATTTATATACATTTACAAAATATCGTAAAATTTCTATAGATTTTATTCGAATATCGTAAATGCTATCGCCATTATCCAAAAGTCCTTAATATAGCAATTGTCATTTTAAATATCCCATTTCAAAATTATTAAATTGAGTATCAAGCTTTTCAAATATCGTAATAAGTTTTGTCTAATATCGTAAAAAAATACTGCAAAAATAAAACATACCATATACTGCACTTAGAAAAAAAAATCCATAACAAATACTTTTAGTTAAACATTGTCAACTCTTTACTTACGATATTTAAAATTAGTTGATTTATTTGGAGGATCGGGGTTATATATTTATTAAAATATCGTAGTATCAAAAATATCTTTTTCATTCAAATATTTATTCATTAATTTATGTTTTCCACATTTCCTACATATCGTAAAATATATCGAAATTTTAAATAGTGCCAAAGTTGACCACATATCGTAAATAGCTATTTTAAAATTTAAATGTTGCATCGATTATTAAATATCATCAATTTTCATACATAAATGTATCGTAAATGGTTTATTTACTTGTAGCAGGTATCGTAAATAAGTAATCAACATTAGATTAATTTTGAAAAACCATATAACGTACTGTAATAATAGCGAACATTTTACTCGCCTTAAATATAGCGAACTTAATAACGTAATCGGCAAAAAGTTTATCGTATTATTTTTATTAATTAATATCGTAAAATTTAATATAGAATTTTAAGTACTACGCGAATATTAACTACCCTGAAAAGCATTTAGATGTTTTATCTCAAAATCGTAAAATTATTATTCACTTTTTTTCCTCTCATGACATCCAAAAAATTGTGTAGATCGTATGTAAGTAATTTATATTTTAAATATCGTAAATATTCAAATATTTTGATACAAATAATTTAGCAAAGTTCAAATATCGTATATTGACTTTGTTCCATTAATTTTCCTCCAAAGTATGATATCGTAAATTATAAATTTTTATTATTCATGAATATCGTAAACTCTATCATAATGTAGTTCAAGTTATAATTACTATGCCAGTATCGATTAACTACACTGAAATGCAAATAGATGTTTTACCCAATATCGTAATTATTATTAACCCTTTTTAAACTCATGACAAAGGCAAATTAAAATGCATGACATTCAATCATTCAAATATCGTAAATATTCAAATATTTTGAGCCAAATAATCTAACAAAATTTAAATATCGTATGTTAACTTTATATATGTCTAAACTATGTATGGTGGCATTTTCATATTTTGTACCCAAATACGGTAAAATCATTATACACGAAGGGAGTTATTGGAATATCGTAAATTATATATGGAAATATCGTATACCATAATATGTTAATAAGCCAAATATTAAAGTGGGCAATGTCTTGTAAAATGTTCAGAACAATTACTCGAACTGAGAATATTTCTATTTGAATGATTCAAAAATTTATAATTCAAACCAGGCCTGTGGATTGTGAATATGTCTAAAGGGTCTGAATATGTCTAAAGGTTATTTGTATATGAGAACGCTCGGCAATCTGATCTTTGACTCAGTTGCATATCCAAGGGCGAAGATAATTCTGAATACAGCCACAAAAATGCAATCAACAAAAATCCATTGCATTTTAATTCAAACCACCACCCCAAGTCAACTCAACAACACAGCTGATCGATTACAATTTTGAACCACATTCGTATTATTTGAACTCCATTAACGAATATTGTAACCATGATATTGTTCTTTTGTGGTGTATCTATGTTTGATGTTTATGTAGTTCTGTTTTTGTGCAAACATCACGTTCATTGACATGATAGGGCATATTCTTTTATTTATATCTATGTAATTCCAATACGAAGATGATAACGTTTATAATTTTTCTCACCTTCTAACTCGGTGAGTGGCTGGCGGCTCCATGTACCGAACACCGTAATTTGATTCTAGTTAATTTTCAAAAAAAAATAAAAATCTAGCACATGAACCAACAGCGTGTGAACCCATCCGCCATTTGATCGATTATAATCATGAGTAATCATATTTCAAATATTCGTGAGTTGTTGTCGGGTTTTTTTCTTTATTTTTGGATACTTGTTGGCGGACATGCCATTTTTGGGCCAAATAAAAATAAAAACCTAACTGTGAAGGTTAAGACGGAAATGAAGTAACCAGAATAAAGAATATTTTTGTTTAGACTTTTGGTGTTTACGTATTTTGATATGTTATGTGTTCGCTTGACATAGAAAACGTGATGTTCGATCAGTATTGAAAATGCGGTGATTCGGTAACAAGCTAACAAATAAAAAATTCTTAAAGAAGAAAAAAAGGAAATATAACAGAAACGTCAAATCAGGAAGTGAGAAGAAATTTTTAAAATAAAAAGAATTTAAATAAAGGAAGAGATTGTGTGAAAAAATTGATTTTCGAAATAAAAGTGTAAATATTTTAAAATTGAAATAATTTAATTGGAAAAAAATAATTAGAATATATAATAAAAACCAGTGAGTAGTCGGACGGGGCCGACCATACGATACCCTACACAACTACCACGGAACTCTAACTTTCTGCCGACGTTTATTCGGAGCGTGGGCAATATTTCGTGATAGTTGCACCCTCTTGCCCGATTAAAGATCGACAGCACCTCTTCCT